AGTTAAATCACAAATAAATGATTGTATACGTTGTGAATCATAATTTGAATTTTGACGAAGAAGTTCAATAGCAGTTGATGAAAAATCACATGCATATATAAATAAATTTGGTATTTCATCAAGTAATGGAAATAGAAAATTACCTACACCACAACCAACTTCAAATAATTTCATTGTTTCATTTATATTTATATTAAATTCTCTTAATGTCCAATGACGATCTTTAAAAAAATTATTTGTATTTCGTTTATAAAATTGATCCCAATATTTTTGAGCATTTTTATCATATTGATTTTGTTTAAATAATGATACTTGTTGACGATCTTGTTTTTCTGGAGAATATAAACATGCATATTCATCATCAGTTATAACTCGTTCTGTATTTGAACGACAACCATGAACTGATTCATTTGTAGTATTATCAGTCATGTTATCTGAAATAGAAAAGTATGTATGATAAATAGCAATCTAAAAAAATGGCTTCATCAAGTCTAAAATTTTCTGACTCGATCGAATCGTACTGACTAGCGCACCCTACACATATCTCAGATGACGCGAGTTCATTGGGTCCAAAACTTTCGGACTCAGTTAACAGAAAAATTTCAGACTCGAATCCATTGTGGTAGTATTTGTCTATATTTGAAAAAAATTTTGAAACTTGTTAGAAATAGAAAACTAAATTAAAAAAAACTTAAACTGTATCTTCCATGATCGGTCCTCAGACTATTTTTCAAAATACTAGTTTCTAGTCTTGTGGATTCTGAATTTTGATACATTTAAATAGACTCGTGACTAAAACGTCTACTCAAGATTACTCATATAGATTTTATATTCTGATCGAGATAGAAAAATCAGTCTTGTATATCTTTGATTCTAACACACGTACATAAAGAAATGATTGTAGTATTATTAACTAGTCGAAATCATTCAGGTAGATTTTACATGTATTCGAAAAACTGCAAAAATTATAAACAAAGTTGAGCGATTGTAGAAACCAAATTGGGTTCGTAGAATCGACCATAGGATTTGTACAAAAACTTAATTAAGAACAGAACCAAAAAAATGTGACTTTACAGATTTCTAATGACAAATCATGATAAACATAACATCGATAATGATGGTTTTAGTATTTATTTAAAAAAAAAAACCGTGCTCGAATGTAAAAAAAAAAACAAAAAAAAGATGTTTAGCCTTAAGTGGTTGTTGTTGCAGGCTTATCCTTTTCATCGTTTGTGTTTGACACATCTTCAAGATCAGGCATTGATTCATCATCACTATCTGTTTCCTTATCATCGACATCATTCAAATCAGTTGCAGCAGGAGCACCACCACTTGCGCCACCACCCATTTGTTTAAGCATTGCGTCTAGAGAAAAAATTTTAATGAAAATATGTTTTTTTTTAATTTCTAAAATGTATTTTACCTATATTACCCCAATCTCGACCACCGGCATTACCCATTTCATTATCTTCGTCATCATCTAATTTAAAAAAAAAACAGTAAATAATTTCCTGACTTTTTTTTCTGCTACCGATAAAAATTTACCTTCACCAGCAAAATGATTCCAATCAACAGTTATCCATGAACACTATAGAGAGAAATTTTTAAAAAAATTGAGATGAAAAAAATAATAAATATTTACTTTTTCTGTAGATTTAATCAATCGTTTCCAAAATGGTTTGCTTGGATCTTTCTTTTTAAGCATAAATTCCCAATGATTTTGACTTATATTACGATATTTTGATGTCTAAAATAAATATGATATTTTTTTTTATTTATTATGAAGATAATCAAAGAAGTTTCTTCGCAATAAAATAAAACTATAGCCTAAGTATTTGATCAAAAAGCAGAAAGAACCAGTGATCTGTAAGTTTAGGTTTTTTTTTTAAGAGAGAATATCGTTGCCTTTTGGTTATCCGGCGGCATGGAGTGTTGCATAGCGACAGATTCAATAGCCCAATATCTACCATATAATTAATACTACTTAGCTGTAGTTCTCGACATAAGATCAACTTGACACCAGACATCGCAATCGGGCCATTTTTTTATGACCCGATCCGGCCCAAAGCAGCCCGAACATTGTTTAGGCCGGCCTGGCCGAAAGAAACTTCGTTTACAAAGATTTTTTTCTCAATAGACAGCTATTCCATATTTTTCGGCTTTTATAAAAAATGATGACCAAGGGGAAGGGGATAGCGTGGAGAAGCTTTTCCCTCTTCGTCCTCAGGGGTAAGCCAAATCTCAGAAAAAATTATGTCAAAAAAGGATCAAATCGTGGGGCCGGGTGGCCTGCTCAGTCCGACAAAATATTTCGTTGGACCGAGCGACTCGTTTCAAGGCCTGCTTAACATAGAGTTCTTGAGCTTTACATACACATTAATTACTCATAAGAACAGATGTATGTCACAACGTAGTTATCATGCTATCGAACGGCTGATCCGAGACAAATAGCCGTTAGTGACTTGCCCAGGATCATTCTATGATCGATCAATGGTACTGAGGTTTGTACATAGTACCTTGTTGATATGTGGCCAACAACGTAGTCACTCAGTCATGACGGTATTTATTCCTCGAGATTGAGTTGAACCAAACTGATCTATATAAATGTTTCACGTCGAGTATAATTATTATTGTATAAAAAAATCGAATAGTTTAAATTTAGTGGATCTACATCAAACGAAAAAAAAGCAAGACCTCTGTACTTCATCGTGCAGACATATTAAAACAGGTCAACAATGTTTAGAAATACTCAAAACCGAATCTTAGAACATCACCCTAATTACTCATATACTTCAAGAAACGCTTGAGGAATTATTCAAATATCCGACATTGTTTGAAGTGATTGGATAATTTTCGAACATCGAGACCGAGGTCAGGTTAATTGTATGTTTAGTGCAATACATTTGTTAGCTTATTTTATAAATTTTGACTCGATTCAGTTCAGTTTCAAAAACACAAACCTATCCTATGTCGGAAAAGTATATTTGACGAATTCAATATGAACATAAGTATCTGCATATCATAATAAGAAATAGATCTCGATATAGAGTTTAAATTTTTTCGACGTCTAAGATCATATTCACTATATACTATGTAACCACCAGTTAATCTTCGAACAGATATTTGAATCTCATCACAAACTAACAAATTTATATTTCTTTTACTCATAATATCTTATGGTGTGGATATGTAAATCTTCTCTTCGGCAACACCAAGCACCCTCAAGAAGCTGTCACCTCCGCGATAGAATTTTTGAAATACCTCCTGCATCATGATGGCGGTAGCTTCTCATAATCTATAATTTCTTTCTATTAATTAATAATTCGTTAAGCAATGTATTCTACAAACAAAAAAAATGACCTACATTTGGATTAATTTCATCAAAAAATTCAAGCATTGTATCATAATTCGATCCTTTTGTTTGTTGACCTCTACAAATGAAATAATCAATTAAATTTTAACATAAAAAAAAACAAACTTTATATTTATTTATTTATCTTTACTTAAAATGCAATTTAGTTGGTTCAATATTGATTTCAGGCTTATCAATATCTTGTACAGCAATTGTTAATAAAATATGATCTTTTTTCTGACTCCATTTTATTGATGGATGAGTATTAGCCCTAAAGCAAAAAAAGAAAAGTTTAATAATCGATATTTTATTAATAGAAAAAAATTCAACATACATTTTTCCGTCCCTTCGAATACGTAAATGAGTAATAAAAAAAAAAGTAAACAATAATTGTTATTGGTTAATTCCAAAAAACCAATGAACTCATTTTTATTACCATACATATTTTTCTTTTTTTTGCGTTTGGGTGCATTTGAATAAACTATGAGTCTTTCATCATTAGCAAACGATCCTGAATTACAAAAATTTGTTGCTGCAAAAGAACTTGAAAATCAATTAACAACTCAAGTAATACAAAAAAAAAAAAGAAAATTTTTCTTAAATTAAATCAATAAATAATCTCTAGGTTCATCATTTAACAAATATTTGTTTTGATAAATGTGTTGAATCAAGTGGTAGTCTAAGTGATTTATCAGCAAAACAAACGACATGTTTACAAAATTGTGTTGAACGTTTTCTTGATTGTACAATGTTAATTACCAATCGAACGGTTCAACGTATTCAACAAGGACGTTAGAGAATTAGTTGTTGTTTCTTTCTTTTTTTGTTTGTTCTTTAGTATAAACAAGATTTGATTTAGCAATGATAATTTAGGATTTTTTTTTCATTGCAGATTTTGTTACATAGAACAATGGCATTTCGTAATTTGACACGTGGCGTATTTCAAATAGTTACAAATCGAAGATTTTATACAGCAATTCAACAACAAATTTTTATTCGAAAACCAATAATAAATAATCAACAATTTCGTCAATTTTCATCAGTAACAATACATAATGATGCTTATAAAGATTTAAGTAAATTTCTTGACAAAGAAATTCAATTAGAAAAAACTGCACAAAAACATTCAAGTCAATTACCTACTATTCAAGGTTTCGAGGTTTGTTTTATAAGAATAACATATGTACTTAAGTTTTGTCTTTTTACCCATATTTATTAACAAAATTATTTACGGAAGGAAGTGAATCAATAGAAAAATATTGAAAAAGAAAATTGAACATTTTCAACTGTCCACTAGCTTGAGACTATTACCATTCTATCAATCACGATGAGTAGTAAAAAACAAATTCTGTTTTGGTTTGGTTTTCTAGTCTTTTTACTTGATTTTTGTCCTATGAGCATAGTATCGCTAAGAACTTGAACGATCAAAATTTCGTCCACAATTAAAAACCTTATAGCTAGAACGAACGTATCCTTGCTAAGATATTTACATTTTAAAGAAATCCTTGTTTTGGATTGTATTTCAAATGAAGGGTGTAGGTGTTGATTTCGATCTTTTCTACATGTACACCCTTCTGAAGCATTGAATATGAGGTTTAAAAACAATGAAATTTGAAATAGTTGCTAGCCGGATTAACTTTATTGATCAGAGGATCAAAAGAATAAAATAAACATTAGTTTGTAATTTTAAAAATATTTCTTCTTTGCTATATTTCTAAATAAAATTTCTCTCCTATTTTTCACTAAACCCCATAGCGGTTCTATGCTCATAGGACAAAAATTGAGTAAAATGCTCATAACTCCACAAGTGAAAATCGGAAAATCAAACTAAAACACTTTTTTTTTGCTACTTATCATGATCAATCGAATGGCAATAGTCTTATGCCATTGGACAAGTAAGGATATTTCTTCGCAAGTAAAACACTTTTCTTCTCATTGTCTATGCCATCGAACGGTTTCATTTAAAGACTTCACATTGTAATAAATCGAACTAAACACACATTCTTTTCGTATTAGATTGTATGTACTATGAAAAAAAAGTGTGATTTCAATTTTCTCATTTCGGATGTTGAAATTACACTTATTGACCTTTCTAACGTTCTTCTACGAAGTTTTACATATTGAAAATTCATTATATATTTGCTTTTCTTTCTTCGATTGATAATTTAATTGTTTATAATTATACAAAAAAAAAATCATTTTCATTACATATGGTAGGTACAAAGCAATGGTCCCGCAATAACATTAACTCGTAAATCAGGAAAAGAAAACATTACTGTTAAATTTAATGTAACACATACAGTAAATGCAGCTGAATCTGATCAAGCTATGAATTTCGATGAAGCAGGAGGACAACAACAACAATCAAATAGTGAAATATCTCAATCATCATCATCATCACAATTAAAATCACGACCAACATTTACTGTTGATATTAATAATGGTGGACAGACATTATCATTTTTATGTTCATATTTACCACAAGATTATTCTGTTGCACCTGAACAATACCAAAGTGGAGAAAATCAACAACAACAACAACAACAACAACAACAAGAAAATGATAAATTAGAAGATTTTCAAATTGATGAATTTGCTATTCATGATGGTGATTGGAATGATAATGTTTATAGTGCTGATTGTGCTGTTATTGATGGAGAACTTTATGATAAATTACTTAATTTACTTGAAGAACATGGAATTGGTGAAGGTTAGTAAATTTATAACATATTTCACTATTATCTTTTCAATACTGCACTTCGAAGCATCCAATGGAATTTTAATTATTAGAGGAAGGTGACCGGACAGTGAGTAACTGTCGCATAGTTAGTAGACATAATAATAAACATGATTTCATTTTTGTACTCTCTATCGTATATGTATATATATGAGTAGATATAAAATGAATATTGAATAGTTTTCAGAAACATATAAATATAGTTTACTTAAGAAATAATTTGATTTAAAATAATAAATATTTTTTCTTTTCTATTTTAGAATTTGCTAATCAATTAATAGATTTTTCTACAGCCTATGAACATGGTCAATATATTGGTCTACTTGAAAAATTACAACAATTTTCCAAAAAATAAAATATAAAACAATAAATTAATCTTGCTGAAATTAATATTCTCGAAATAAAATCTATCATCTTCATATGAAGAATAAAAGTTGCTATTTTGTTTTTGTTTTTTCGTTTTGTAGATATATAAATAATCATGTTGATAATCTATTCTGCTATTTGTGCATTATTTCTTATATCGACAATTTCATCTACACCTTCACCACGTATTGTTTATTCAGCTATTATCTATAATGCACAAGATTCACCAACGGATTGTAATATAATATGGTCTCAACCATCAGATTCAACATTAGAAAGTGGTTCATTTACTATTGGACGACATGAATATTATTTAGTAGATGAAAAAGAAATTGAAATGGACACATGGACAGCAAATGCAGTCATCAAACAAATTCGTTGTGGAAAATTAGTACTTGATGCTCCATTTGATAAAGTTACATCACCAGAAAGAAAATGGAAATTTCGTGTTGAATCAGATAAAATTGTGTCAGTTGGGCCAAGTTCATAACGTAATGATAATTAATAAATTTTTCTAACTATTCAATATCAGAAATACCATATATATATATATCAAATAGAAGAAAGTAATTCTCTTTTGTTATCTTTATCAAAAATCTGCGAGTGACAAGGTTACATTATCCTGGCCCGCTCGCGGTTGCAAGATGGTGCTAAAATTTTTTGTGAAGAAACGGTAGCAAGGCACCCAGAAATTTAACGGTTCCCCAGCTTATTGACTTTGTACTATTTTTTTTTTAAGAATAGAACTAAATCTATAAAAATGAATGAGTTTTATTAGTTTCCTATATTTACAAATAATCTACATATATTTTTATGTCATAGAAATGAAATAGCCAATGTAATATATATGTTCACAAAAAAGAGTGCAGAATCTGTTTAGGTTTATCAACAAGTGACTTGCGTTGTATATGACTATATTTTAACGATTGACACCAAAATAAAATGTGTTGAAATCTATTTACTAAGGATTTATGTAATGTTTTGTTTTGTGCGGACAGTTATATATAACCGACTCAGTTGAATATATACATTTTTCGGACGTAGTTTTTTTTCTAGATCATTTTCTCATTAATTATTATTTAAGAATACATTCCAGATATCGAAGGATAAATCGAGAATGAACTATCGTGAAACAGTCTGATCGATATCAAAGTGAGTTGAGACAAATCGATTTTGAGATTTCATTGTCTTAGTTCGAATTAAGCTTAAAAATATAAATTTTTTACTCCCGTAGAAAAATGTGTAGCAAGGTCATTTGGAGAAATGCATTGCAAAATATGACACAATATATATTAGCATGTTTCGTGTAGGTCAGTATTATGATAATATATCATCGTGACTGTATACAACCTCCGTGTACGATGATAATAAGCGAACGTTTTTGTCTCCGTAAATCATCGAATTTATTTGTATAGAACACGATGATATGCTATCGTTATGTAGAGCCGCGTAAACCACTGTATTTCTCGGAGCATGGCCATTTATGACTGTATACAGTCAACCTAAATGCTTGAAAAATTTGTGAAATTGTCCCTGATCAAAAGATTATTCTGATGAAACCAAGCGGGGTAACGGTGATATGACTTTTTAGGTTTCTCGCAGATTTCTGATCTATATTTTCTTTCTTCTATTTGATATATATATATATATATATATGCTTACATTATTCTTTTTTTGCTTTTTATTATCTTGTTCTTCTTATATTTACTACTCTCATACTTATTTTTTTTTTGCGAAGATTAAGTTTTCATTTGTCTTTTTCCGGAGAATTAAAGTGGGGGTAAAGGAATCTAATAAAAAAGTGCACTAGCCGATGTTTTGTATGATAACATTAGCGTAACAAGAAAACAAGCACATTTTAACAAAAATTTGAATGTATCAACCATGAATAATACTGAAGATATGAGTATGGTTGGTTACGATTTAAATGAACAGTTAAAATAAATATTCGGGTATGACTTAAATGATCAACATTTCTTTCAAAATGACAAATAAAATCAATCTTCTATTCAATTACAATTATATGAAATACAAAAAATGAGTAGTCATAGAAATATAGAGCATTGATTAAAAAATTTTTACTAGAGAAACGTTATTTTAATATTTTAAGCAACAAGACCAAATATCATCATTTACATTCTTTCTCAAAAGTTTTCTTCAATATGTTGATCATAAACAATCAAATCAAAAATAATCAACATCATTAAGCTTATCATTAATGTATTTGAAGCAACAAGCATATTTGTTGATTGTATAGAAATTGTAATGCATTGTCTTCGAAATCAAAATAAAGTGTCTTCAAATGATTAAAAGAAATTAAACAAGCAATAGATCAATTTGATTTTTTTGATAGTAAACATCTTTTTTTTAATATAGACATTATTTGTATAAAAATTAGTAAGCACATTTAAACTTTGTGGAAAAGCCGATATCTCATTCAATCAAGTTTGTCATATGACAAATTTCGAATAAGGCACACCCTACCTCAAATGAGATACACGTGGCGTACAATATTTTTTTTCAAATGGGATACAATGATGAGTACAGAGTTATTTTTGTAATGCAAAACGTCCTAAAAGTAAATTAATTGGATAAGAGCATGTGTTTAATATTTTTTGTTCAAGAAATGATTGAAGTTGTTCAGAAAAGTTAGATAAAAAATAAGCCATTTTTCAATACAATTTAAGCACAAGAATTGAGATGAATCGATTCCATTGAAATTAATATTACCTATTCATACTAGTTGCTCAAGTTTTATAAGAAATGTTTCTGCATTTATGTTTTCTATCAGCAACCTTGGATCATTTGACATGTCCAAGATTTTTTACATCTATGACTCTCAAAGTCAGCATTTGTACTTTTAGATATACATTTATGCTTCTCACTCTCAGTAAAATCTTCTTTGTATTAAGATATATTATGTGGGTGTATTATTGTGATTGAAGAGTAGATCCATGACCACATATTGTCAACCGATTTTCACTGGAATATCTTATCTATATCCATCAAGACATGTTTGGTAGAAGACTTGACTAGAACTGCTGAATCAGCAAATGTCAGCGAGAATGAGCGTGCGTCTTCTCTTTATACACTCACTCACCCTCATCCATTCATCCTAAATTTGAGAGAACAGGGATAAGTGACTATTCGAATAATCAACGAATATATGCAACTGAATATGCTTCGTCGTGATGAAGAAGACAAAAAGATGGTATGAGTCACTATGACGTTCTTTTGTCAAGTAGTTATACCCGTGACGCACATGCCTGCATTACATTTGTTTTTTTATAAGATAAACGCGTTGGTTTTCTTCTAATACTCTAATTATCAAACAATTTCATTATTAATAGTAACGATGGGGGCAACAGAAAGTAAAACCATACAAGTGAATTTCAATCGATCAACCGATTTTTACTTTGTGGGTGAACAAGTATCGGGCAATGTATCGTTTCAAAATAATCATGATAGACTGAAATTGGAAGAGATATCTGTCGAACTCATCGGTGAACTTGGTTATACAACAGAAGAGAGCCATTCTTCTACTGATTCTAGTGGGAAATCGATCATGGAATACTGCACTAAATATCATCGCTTACCATTCTTGGCTCTTGGTGTATCTCTCGCTCGATCTAACAATAAAAAAGTAAGAAGTTATTTATAGAATTGTTGACATATGTTTAATATATTCTTATTACTATAGCATAAAATGGTTCTCAATCGTGGCATACATACATGGCCATTTGAGTTTAGTCTTCCTGAATATTTACCTCCATCATCAGGTCCCAACAATGAAGCATATCCTCACATCAAATATTACATTCGAGTTGCTCTTGATAGACCATGGTACAAATCAAATGTTACTCAAAAATATCATCTGACGATTTCTCCTCATATGAATCTTCTTCAGATGAGTGGCACTCAAAAGACATTTTATTCTGTTGATCAAAATCGTAAACAACTTCGTTTACAATGTTGTCTTCTTCGTAGTGGCATTTTACCTGGTCAGTTACTTTCTTTTAAAATACATCTTCACAATCCTGAACGAACCAAAATCAAAAGAATCGAAGCAACTTTCATTCAACATAGAGAGACTGCTGTTGATCGTCACAATGAAACTATTTTTTTTGTCAATTTACCCAATTTGCGCGAATTCAATGAACTATATTCAGAACGTAATTTCGATCTACTTGTTCCTAATACTTATCTAACACCTACCTACAAGTTCACGACAACATCTCATGGCAAGCCATATTATATTACCGTTCATTATGAACTTAAACTGAAAGTTATATGTCATGGGATCTTTACTAAGATTGAAGTAAACATTCCGGTTATTGTTGGTACAGAGGCAATCTCAGGACAACAGCAGCAGCAACAAAATCATGATTTCACAATGCTCATAAATACTAGTCCTGTTTTCAACGAAAATGATCTGCCACCAAGCTATGAAACAGTAATCCAAAATATGCAATAGAGACAATTCAAAGTTGATTGTTTGTTTCGTTTTTTTTTCAAAAGAGAAATCTCAATAATTTCAATGATCTTTCAAATTTCTTTGATAATACCTTCGAAGTGCAAGAAAAAATAAGACAATCATTAATCGATGTACTCTTGTAAAAATAATGGATGAAAGTGTAAAAGGACATTTCTTCTTGATGCAAATTTGGCTATACTTAGTTTCTCAATTGTTAGTAGAATATAACACATACTATTGATGTGGATTAAAGAAAATAATGAAAGAGCTGGAAAAGCATTACCTATCTTCAATAAATTACCTAAAAGCTGAGGGCTACCGAATGTGATGAGAACAAAAAAAGTGATGTTGAGATTAAAAAAATCGAGTAATATTGATTATACGAAAACACGATGCACATTAAATACTTATTGTTTCGTATTTTCATATTTCAACTATACAATCTTCTAATGTTTTTTTCCAGTTATACATTTTAATGAAATCATATGTATAAGTAAATTCATTGAAAATTTATACACATTTATCACATAATACTGATCAAATTTTTGACTGAAATATAACTGAATAAGAATAAATATAGGAAATAAAGCATAGCCATACAATGTTGATATAGATTGTATCATCCAGTAAAGTAAGCCAAATATGGTGACAATCTCAAGAAGTCCTTCATGTAGATAGACCAAATCTCTGTGCAAACGTCTTCAAACTTGGACCAATCATTAGAGATCAAGTTCACAATTTTACCTGTGTTCATTTCTTCCAATAATGTCATTTTTAGAGATAATGTGCATGTGTGCAAATGATTCGAGTAGGTGCATTAAAGTTGCACACCAACATGAGGTAAGAGAAAAGAATTTGGTTGATGCATAAGTGTTTCTATAATTAGTGAAATAAACAGTAATATGACACATCAATAACTGACAGTATTCGATCCTTTTTCATTCATCATATTCAAAAGAATTTAACGAAAAAGTAATGATTGAACAATATTTGTTATCAAATAGAGAATCAAGAATAGACTGACAAAAATGTAATCTTTCCAAGACTCTTTCTTAATAATATTCTATATTGTTATTAATGATCAGTCATAAAAAAATAATCTATTTAATAATACGAAAGTTTTATGAACATGAGGTATATTATTAAGATCATAATAGTGTTAATTATCGTTTATATTCTGAATAAAGAATCGGATTCATTCACCACCAAAAGAGTACATATAAAACTCGAGTCCAAGACAATTCTACACATTCAAGATGAGATGAATGATGTTGATGATAGTCATTAGTAGCATATGAGGTTTTTTTTATCAGTGAGTAATCTTTTGCTTTCATCGTCTTCTTGCTTTGTTATTACCTTCGCCATCAAAAATCAAAGTTAGTATTATATATAAGATATTTGTAGAAATTATTCATCCAGAATGTATAAGTTTATTCATAGCTGCATGCATCCTCCTCTTAGTATTATAGAGTTGAATTACAATCATCAGAAAACAATGCAATAAGAATTTCATTATTCAAGAAGTATCGATCCAACAATAAACACGAAAACGAAGAAAGGTCGACGGATAAAATAATCGAGACATTAATAATTAATGAACAAAACATATTTTTATAAGAGATGCTTCAACTGAGACAAATAAGTTAAATCAATACAAAAACAAAAAGACAGAAGACATACTATTAGTGAATTATAAATCTCTACAAACTAGCATATGTTTCTCTGATACATGTAGTATATGAACTATATACAATGAATTTTCAAAATTGAAATTGTTAGATTCACAGAGTTTCATGAAGTTATATGAAATTTTATTCTAATTGTAAAGTAGAACTAAGAAAAAAAGCATTTTAATTATAGTATACATTTATGTCATTTGATTACCTTGTCAAAACTTACATTCCACATTGAAAAATTTAATCAAAACTTCATTATTCCATACAAAGCTTCGTTGTAATAGTTAGTTAAGTAGTAGTAAATGAATCTTTTAATAGATATTTTTTTTTAATATAAAGCATTACTATTTTATTAAAAGCAAACGTCTCAAATGATTGTAATAGTAGCAAAGTATTCAAGTATACGATAAACTTATTCTTTTCTTCCGGAAAAGTGAAAAATCTGAATAAATAATATTTATTTTTTACGTTTTTGCTACTTAAAAGTAAAATGTCCTGAAAAATGGTCGACATCCATTTTATTTTTTACATGGCACTAATCACAAAAATTACAATAGGTAAAGATAATTTATGAACTGATATTCTTTTATCATAAATGCGACTATAAGTTTCAGAGTGATTTTTGATCTCGAAACAGAATAATATGTAGATTTGTAAAGGAAGACGTGCCATATCTAATAGTATATATATATATTATCAAATTCTGTTGCGTACTATGAGAGAAAATTAAAATGAAAAAAAGAATCATAAATTTGATATCTTTTTAAGAGACTATCCTACACCAAAATTCAAATGGTGTAGAACCAAGTCAAAACCTAACCGAATCATATATATACTATTCGACAGCCTACACTGTTTATAGTTTCATAATTCATATCATTCTTCTTTATTTTCAAGTTATGATATGACTTATACTAAGTTAGAAAAATATTCCAACTATGCATGCAATAGAACCATACAGAGAGCGAACAAACGAATCGTCAAATGTGGATCATTCAGCAATGTCAAAGGCCCAAAAAATGTCCACTTTACCTAAAGACCGCTAAGAATGTATAGGACTTTGCATACCTAAGGAAATATCACGTATATCAGTAGTTATAGAAAAAGCAAAATATAAATATTCCAACAGCGGATATTTCTTTCTTTCAGCAGACTTTTCTGTTCTTTAGAGGATTTTTCTTTTCATATGAACTGATTCATTCAGATAAATATAAGAAAAATTTGAATGAATTTAAAGCAAATGGACGAATTTATTGTATATATAAATATGTATGAGAGATAAACTGATATTGCTTTTTTCCTCTTACAAAAAATAATGACAATCCATTGAAAAGAAAAAAGCCCTTGTGTTGAGAGAAAAGTGACGCATGATGTTAGTAAAATCCACCTAAAGTCCGCTAAGTAAAAAGAAAGTTCTGCTAAAAAATACCAAAGTTCTCTTCCAAAAACATAATGATAATCCATTGAAAGAGCAAAGTTCTTCGGTTAAGGGAAACGTAACCCATAATGATAGTAAAATCCTTCTAAAGTCCGCTGAGAAATAGACAAGTTGGGTATACTATCAGTGTGGCATAAATTTGGTGTTCTTTTAATTGACTAGTAAAGTCTTTCTATTCACTAGCGAACTTTAGGTAAAATTGACAATTTCGGGATCTTTGACAGCCTTCATCGGTTATAGATTATTATAAACTATCTGACGATGATTTTAGGACACTTTTTGAAACGATGAAAAACGATATGAAAACGACAAAAAGCAACAATCGCAACGACCATCGTTTCCGCTAGCAGGTAACCGATTACTGTAAAGGTCATCGTTTATCGCCATATTTCTCCGTTTTACGGCAGATCGTAAACGACTGTTGTAACGGCAGCCCTTTTTTCACCGTTTTCAAGTCGTTTAAGGCAGTTTACGAGCCGTTGTATAGGACATGGGTAGATCTATCGTGTTTCATATTGTAATCCCATAGGGATTGGACTGATAGCTTTCCTTTTGCTTTGTCATTTCTATTCTTTCAGCTCTCATATAAGTATCGAGCGATATATCTTCACTTTGTCATTCATCAACCAACACGTACATACAATGTCATCTATTATTGTATTCTACCTTCCACTCCTGACAGTACTGATAGTATCACTTGGCAAAGCTGTACCTATTACGGAAAACATTACTTATTCTTGTGATGCAGAGTATTTTGAGTATGGGCTGTGTTCTGAGTCAATTAGCACTCCAAACCATTGTAAAGAAACAACATTTGATTTGACCAATAGCAATATTTCAAAAACATGTACATCGGTCCATCTTTTCTGGAACTATCCAGTCGCTAACTTGACGACAATCATTGAAACGCCATTCACTCAGAAAAAACAAGCCTACAAGCTTTATATTGACAATGAACAATTGAAACCTTACATATCACATGTTTATCGCATATTGAATGGTCAAGAAACAGAGGTGACAACAACTGATAAAACACTCATTCAAGATTCGGATGTCAACTATCAAGTGATTCTGAAGTTTGAAGGTCCATCCACATTATATTATTACGGTGTTTTTATCAATTATGATATTGTTGTCAAGTTATGAAGAAATTACTTGTCTTTGATTTTCACAATAAAAATAAAAAGTGAAACATAATCTCAATGAAAAGTGATTAAATTTTAAGGAGACATATTTGAATTAAAGTCAATTTATAATCTATAATGGAAGTTCACGATAAACATTAATTCTTATTTTGAGTCTATGTCGAATTCAACTTAGTAATTTCGATAAAATATCTATGTCACATGTGTACAGAAGAGATAAAAGAAAAAATACTTTCACTTAAAAATCTAACTTATACATACGATCTTGTTTCTTTTGTAGATATCATGATAGTCCGATATGAAAAAAATCACTTGTATTCTGTAGTTGAACTGTTTCACTCGTGAAGCCAAATGAGAAGAAACTTTCTAATGTTTATTTATATCGGAAACCAGTTATTTTGGAAAGAACAAAGCTTTTATTAAAAACTGCTGTCCAAATGTGCATTGTGATTGTGATGAAGAAAAGATAAATTTATTTTTGAAATTTAATCACACTAGTAATATGCACATCGAATCATTGACACCTGCTTCAATTATTTTTGTTTCAACATTCTTTCTCTTAATACTTATAAATACTCATCTTTCTCATTTATCATCAATAGAAATGATATCAGTTTCTATTACATATCTAGTTCTGTTTGCGATAGTGATAGTACTAGCTTCACTTAAAGATGTGTCTCTTATAAATAACATCATTGACTTGTGTGTAGTACGAATTTATTCATATAATTCGTCTCCCATACAGTCAACTCTTCTGAAGATTGTAAAGCATCAATGCTTTATTTATCCAATAGTGGCATTTCAGTAAGATGTAACTCAGTGAATCTTTTCTGACTGCGTCCCATTGATAATTCGGCCACACACGGAAAAAATTTTTGAGTAAAACCAAGGTTGAAGTGGGTGTGTGTCGATATTAAGGAGATCATCTCTCACACCCACATCCATGTAAACTTATCACTGAAAAATTAACAAAGAATAACTATTTTTTTTTATATTCAATATCTAGTAGGCTTATCACCTTCAAATATGAAACATATGAGTGATGTTCATGGTCATATAGTTAGTGAATCTTTGCTTTTGATTATTGAATTTTATTTACTGTTCTTTTTTTGAATTCAGATAGATTACACATAGAAAATAAATATGCTAGATTAATATTGTATAGTTCGATTCAAATGAAACTAATATTAGACAAGACAACAGACAAAAAAACTAAAAGATATAATCTTTAGATAAATGTAAGACGTTGATCTTTATAATGATTTAGTTGTTGATTGATCTTTTACAGCATTTTTTATCAAACTAAGTGATGGTCGAAATGCTTCTGTATGAATTTGAGAAGATGGATGACCATATTGAGCCAAATAATCTTCTACTTTATTCATAAATGGTACTGAACCACATAAATACACGTGTGTATCCGGCTTGACAATTTCATGAATAAGTCCTTGTAAAAGATGTCTACCTTGAAAAAGTAAATGATATTGATTTCGAGGGAGAATAGAACGTAATTGATTAGAAAAAGCAGCATGACTTTCTGTTGGTACACAATGAATTAGTGTTACAGAATTTGATTTGCCTTGTTTATGCAATTCTTGAATTAATGATGATAAAACAGTAATACCAATTCCACCAGCAATAAATAAATGATGGCTAGCATTTTCAACTAACATGAAAGTACCAGCTGGAAGAGTTGCTAAGATAGTACTACCTTCCTTATAATTGTTAATAATCTCATTTGAAACAATACCTTTTGGTTCACAATCATGTTCTTGTTTAATAGCAATACGATATGTTTTACCATCGAATGGTTGAATGAGACTGTAATGTCGATTATGAAAATAGTTACCTTTTTTTATACGAAGTGTTATGTATTGTCCTGGATGATAATTATGCATTTTTCCACCGTCGTGTCGTTCAAGTGTCAAAGAAACAATTGGTCCACTTGCAACTTTCTCTTTTTTAATAATAGTAAGTGAGATGAATCCTTTATCACGTTCATTTGGACCTAATTCATGGTAGAGTTGCTTTTCTAGATCAATGAAAATAGTAGCAATAATATTGTAGGTAGCTGACCATGCATCTAAAATTTCTGATGTAGCTTTTTCACCTAAAAATTCAGCAATTGCTTCAAGCAAATACTTTCCAACAATTGGATAATGTTCTGGCAAAACAGTAAGAGCACGATGTTTATGAGCAATAAGTTGAATTTGAGGCATGAGAACGTCCAAATGATCAATATTTTCAGCCGCAAAATATACTGTATTGGCTAATGCTAATGGTTGTGTACCAATCTTTTGATTTGTTTGATTAAATAAATTCAATAATTCTGGATGAGCTTGAAACATAAGTTTATAAAAAATGGAAGTAATTTCTTTACCATTTTCTTTTAAAATTGGTGCTGTCGATTTAATAATTTGTTTTTGTTTATTTGTAATGGACATTTTGAAATCTAAGGGAAAAAGTTATCTTTGAAAAACGATAGGAGTTAATTATGATAAAAGTAAAAAAGAAAAGTGGAAAGTACTGTGATTGCGAAACAGATTTCACATAACAAAGTTAATTAAAAACAACTTTAGAAGAAAATTATCTATCTATTTCATGATATAGCTGGCTAGCATTCATTATCAAATCCATAACTCATCCTATTTTGAATCTTTTCCTGTAGAAACATAGGTAATATTATATAGGTATTATCCATCGATTATGACATTAAAACTACATTGAACAGAAGATATATGATATTTTGCAAATAAATGAAGAATTTCAAGAAGAAAAAAAAATAATTTGATGTTTTCGATACTTTATGTTTAGAAGACTGGTAATGTTAATACCAGAATGATTATAAGGTGTAATGTAGTATTTTATTTACTACTATATTCAGTTAAGACTTTATTTTAATTATCATTAATTCTCGTGAATTACTTAATGTTGTAATAAAAACTATATATGAATACTGTGGATTGTAATAAGTAGAATACCATTGAGAAAAGAAAAAAGTAAACTAAAGAACAGAGATGAGAAAAATAAAAATATTCTTGATGGATGAAGATAACGGTGTGAAAATCTATTTGCAGTTATTTATAAATAGGGTACGATATTACGACATATTATTTATTCACATCTTGTCATCCATTCATGCATATAATTGTAATGTATAGATTTTAAATTTAAGGATGACAAATTCTTTCTATTCTTAGAATGAATATTTTTCATTATGTCCTGTCTGAAATGATCTTATTAACAGAAAAAAACATACATATAAAAAAAATTGTGTTTGAAGAGAACGAAAGAAACTATATGTAGGTCAAAATGCATTAATTGTTGAATGAATGCTATAACATATTTGAGATTTTGTTTGGAACAGAGCAATCAATATTTCTTGACGGTCTATACAAAAGATTAGTAACCAAAAAAAAAATTGAGTCAAATATTCTGAAGGTGATTAAAAAGCACAAACTATTTTATTCTTTTCAAGTCTAACATCTTTGAACAAATTGAACATATCATAAAAATAATACTCTAACTGTGTATCATTAGAAATTTCGTTTAAGATTAAAAAAGGTACTGTGTGCTTAATTGTTGTACAGAAAAAATTTAACTGAGTTGTTACTCCGACATCATCTTATCTAAAACATTTCAAATTTAGTCAAGTTAAAATTGTTCTAATTCATCTGCACTTGTTGTTTTTTTTTGTTACGCAACTTATTCTTTATTTTTTAATATTAAAATATATTATATTTTTACCTAAACGGTAGCGAACTTCACTTCATAAAACGGCAGTTTTACTCAGAATACGAATGTGAATATTTGTTTCATTTGCCTGTAAAAAAAAAACCATTTAAAAAATACATTCTAGCGCATCTATGAAAATTTCTTTTTTTCTCAGTAAAAAAAACACTTAAAAACGCAATTGAATGCATGAAAAAAAAGGAAACCATGTTTGAATGGTATTTTAAATGGCGTTGATTGCGGATAAAAGCGCGTTTCAGATAAAAGATAAAAACGTGTAAACGCGTTGCAATAACAAAGAATGTGTTGAAATGCAAAAGTAACGTTTTCTTTCTGAACGTTAGTGATGGAATGCTGTTTTATATAGAATTTTTTTCCATAGGTTATTTCTCAAAATATCCTGTATATCAAGCAGAAATGAAGTAATAATCCTGATTAGACGCTTCATGAAATATCCTTTTAGATTGAATAATGGGCATCTCACGACTTCCTTTTTAAATTAATAATGATAATGGAACAAAGAAAGAGACTAGATTATTCTTCTGTTTCATCAAGAAGATGCACTACTAGCAGAGAGACAGTTTTTTTTGAAAGAGCTCTTTCTATTAAGAGAGAAATTCATTGAAGCATATTTCTTAACGCAATAATGAACAGGAAAGAAGAAAAAAAAGTATCTCTATCATTCTATGCTGTAATTTACAGGATTAACTTCAGTTTAGTCTTTGATTTTTCTTCAAAGATAAATCTTTACATTTGGAAAAAGTTTTAATCGATGAAAGAAAAGATGACACATATTTATATATTAGATTTTTATAATAAGACATAAAAGAAAAATGAGAATGTGAAAGTAAAAGATTAGCTGATTCCAATGATTGTGAAGAAGGAAAATTAATTTTAATTTACTTTAGTAAATGAACAACGACGCTGATAACTGGAAAATAAGACTCTAAAGATAAGAAATCGATGAAAAATAGCGAAATGAAAATAAGTAGATTGATAGTTTTAACCAAAGTGCTAGACTTAGATTGTTCATTTAACTTGTCACAAAGACAGTCAGCATGACGAATCAAAGGAGTTGGTTCTTCTTTATCATCATTTGGGGTGTGAGTGAACAAAAAAGTCTGAGTAGTCTGGATTGTTTTCCGTAGTGACATGGACTAGTGTGAAAGGTCATTTGTACTAGTCATGACTAATTCATTTTCGAGAAATTAGTGTCAATTCTAGTTCAGACTAGTCTAAACTCTTCAAACAATCCCTTTTGCTTCAACCTTATTGTTCGAATGATTCCATTAGACTGGTTCGTATTGGAATTAGAAAGATGTGTAATGTAGTGCAAGAAAGTTTTGAACATTTATATTATCTATTAGAAATGTTGATTGATAATTAGATATTTTCAGAATATAAATCAGATAGTAAATTTATAATCATTTTGTTAATATCATAAATAAAAAGAGTCTTTCAAAACTAACAACGACATCAAGTATTAACTGAATATTTGACCATATGTAATTTAGTAATTGTGACTGTTCTAAATCAAAAGTTAGCTATCAAGCATCTTTACAAGAACAAAAATTTTGTACTTTTTAGTAGTTTAAATTTAGAAATGAATTCAAATTACAGAATTTTAGTTCATTTTCAAGTTTAAATCGGAAAAAATTTTAAGTTATAATAAATATAAATCATTATATGAAAAAATTGGTTGTGTTTTTAAATTGATATTATTTTTAATTTAAGTTATATATTATATACATTTTCGAATCTAACTTTCTGCCTAATATTTCTATCATTTACACTAGCTCGAACTAGACAACCATATAAGACTACAATCTGTTAGATACAGCGTCACGGATTCTCTACATTTTTTAATATAAAATCTATTTTGGACAGATGAGCGAACTGTGTAACATGTCTAGTCGAAAAGACTGGTCATAACAAACAGAATGATGCCAGTCAGGACGTGAGCTAAAGATTTCAGACGATTTTGAATTAGTCATGATAGAGAACTTTTTGAGAAATAAGACTAGATATGACGTATAGTAACGAGCAGATAAACGACTAGTCTTTTTACCCGTCCTTTCCTTGCTTAGGTTATCAATTGGTTGCGCAATACCTCTTATATACACATCCTCGTGAGGTGATTTAATAAATAGAAAAAAAACAAATATTATTGTAAAAGAGTTTTTGCTTACCGTAGACGGATAGATAAGTGAAAATCAGGATCATACTCGATTATTTTAATAATCAAGATTTTTAGTGTCGCTAGTGTTCGATGATTGTCAATGTTCTCTTTTCCTTATATTCTTTTTTTATTCGCTCTTACTGACATCAATCATTATTGTCATTTTCTATTTATCATATGTTATTGTGTTGTTATCCATGTTTTAGTATAGTAAAGCTTAGTTCTTTTGTGCGAATTCATTTTCAGACACTAAATGTCTGGACACATTCAGGTCATATAAAAATGGAGTTTTGCAACGCATATATATCTGACTGAATTTTACATCTAATTCTATTATTTTTTATTTTGTTTTTGCATAGTAAGAATGAATATGTCAAGAAATGTTAATTTGGATTTTGAAAGTTAATCAAAATTCATTCTTGTATGACCATCTATATATGAACACTAGGTGAAAGTACATTAGTAATTGTTTATGAAATTCAACTTAATGAAGATGTCAAAGTGTTTCTTAAATATTATTTCCAATTAGATAATGATAACACGATATATTTCAAAAATGAATTTAATATTTTAAAACAATACTTTTCAAACATTCAATGATTTCATTATAACTTTCTCGACTTTTATCATGTAAAAATAACATTATATAACTTATTCAAGTCATGAATACGATTGATCAAGAATTTAATATTATTCATCGTGATTTGCAATCGAATAATATTTCATGCTTCATATGATTTAGAATCGATTATGAAAGATTGTATTATGTTTTAAATCAGGAAAAAGTTGATTTATGTATCATGTATATTTGCCAATTGAATGATATGAGTTATTGGTAGAATGATACATTATTACAAATAATTGAACAATCTCTTAGTGATTAATAAGAATCTTTGTGTATGAATAGATTTTTGATCAGATTTTCTTTATTCCTATAGTTGAGATAAAAAACAAAAATATTTGCGTACCAATAATTTTTTATTGAGTTTTGTATAATTATAAAATGAGTGAATCTTAATTGAATCAATTTTTTCAGCTGATTTGACAGAGAATGATAATATCACGTAGTCATTATAAATTTTATCTTCTTCTGATAGAAAAATATCGTGTATATATATAAAGAATATTCTCTTATTCTTTGTACAACTCTTTAGATCTTTTTCAATCGACTCTTCGGTGTATCTAACTGTATAACAAACAATCGGTGATTTAACCTGTATTATGTTTTTTTTTTCTGACGATCAGTTTGTTCACTGGTTGGATTTCACTTAGATCATTTTTGTCTCGTTTATATTCTTCTTCTTCTTCATCGTCGTCGAATATCAATGTGAAACTCTTTGAAGAATTTAACCAACTATTATTGTCTAAAGATGATATTATTCAAGGATTTCATCATTTACCAACGGTATTAGTAGATTTAGATGCATTTGATAAAAATATGTCATTGATTCGTGATCAAATGTGTTCACATCCACAAACAACAATTCGTATTGCTTCAAAATCGATTCGTGTACCATATTTATTAAATCGTATTCTATCAAGTGGTCTACCATATAAAGGAATAATGTGTTATGCTGTCGAAGAAGCTGAATTTTTATCAAGTTTAGGTTTTGATGATTTATTAATTGGTTATCCATCACAACAAATATTAGATTATCAAATATTGAGAAATTTACATGATCAACAAGGTAAAATAGTGAGAATTGTGGTTGATCATCGAAAATCTATTGAAGAATTAAATCAATTTATGAATGGAATCAATCGACCATTTCCAGTTATTTTAGAATTTGATATTTCATATAGAATGTTAAATGGATGTATTCATTTTGGTGTTCGACGAAGTCCAATACGAACTATTGATCATTTAATTGACATGATTGAATTTATTCAACAATTGCCATATATTCGATTAGAAGGTTTAATGGTCTATGAAAGTCATATTGCTGGTATTGGTGATACAAATCCGATAAATTATTGGCTTAATCCATTGATTCGTTATATAAAACGTTTATCAATTCTTCAAATTCAACAACTTCGAAAACAAATGAATCAACTTTGTTTAAAATATGGTTTAACATTATTTAATGGAGGTGGAACAGGTAGTTTCATGTCAACTCTCATGGAAAGTTCTGTTTTAACTGAAATAACAATTGGTTCAGGATTTTTTCAACCTCATCTATTCGATTATTATCAACAAAATCAATCGATGATTAAAGAATATGGTTCAACATTTATTCCATCATGTTATTTTGCTTTACCAGTTGTTCGAATATCTGATGAAGGTCAATGGATAACATGTTCTGGTGGTGGATATGTAGCATCAGGTGGACCAGGATGGGATAAAGTACCATTACCAGTTTTTCCATTAGGATTAACATTAAATGATTATGAAGGAACTGGTGAAATACAAACACCATTGAAAATTGATTCAAAAAGAAAAGATGAAACAATGAAAATATTAAAACAAAATAAAATTGTTTATTTTCGACATGCTAAAGGTGGAGAATTAGCAGAACGATTTATTTCATTTTTAATAGTGGCCAATGGACGTATTATTGAAATTGCCAAAACCTATCGAGGTTATGGAAAATGTTTTTTCTAACTGAATATTTCAATGTATTTCTCTACTTTTCCAGAAAAAAATCTTTTTTCATTGCGTATATTGTTAATTAGCAAGGGTGATTCAAAAGTTTCAAACTCACTCTGTAAATTGATATTATTTATATGAAATATATAGTTTTGTAGAAAAAGATTAGAACTATCATTTGACAAAAAAAAATGATTGAAATTGCATCGATTTCATGAAAACATTTGATCATTTTATTAATCATGACAAAGGACTTGACATGCTACAATTTTTGCAAAAACAAAAATATTTTTGAATAACCTGGCCGGAATGATTGTTTCATCTGTTTATAACGCCCGGAAACGTTATTATCAGCTTTAGTATATAAAACTCCATCTCAAAACATAAATTTTTTAGACTCTTCTAATATTACATCGCCATAAAACGTATTGAGTACAGAATAATGCTCTTGCACAACAGACTTGCAAATCTAATGACGTGTCAAGCTCATCTGATTTCGATATTTCTTTACCATCTTGTTTACTGCTAGGATAGGAATGAAACTATGTACTCTTCAAAGACAGTAACTCCAACTCGAAGTTCGAATGGATGTATTTTTATCAACTCCGATCCAAATCCTATCGACTTGGTAGTCTGTCTAATGAAAATGAGAAAAATTGTGAGTGAAATACCAATTTCAAAAGTGGTTGCAATAGAGTTTAACTTTTTAACATAAGACCGAATACACCATGTCTTTTTTACAGTCATCATTCGAGCAGAACTTTCAAAAAAACTAAAGTTGGAGTTGGAGTAGACTAATAAAAATAATCGAGAAGTTGGAATGAGATTTGGAAAAAAAGGAGTGAAGTCTTCTGGAATTGGAGTGGCATATACCAGAATCGCTCATCTCTAGCGTCCTCCTTGAAACATGACTTGCTTCTATTCTCTTTTCCAGTTAGACTTAAAATTCAGAATGTATAATAATAAAGACATTTGTTCCGATCTGTGTATTCCAATCAATTAACCGAAATGTACTTCTTCATTTCAACATTTTCATCAAATCTTTTCTTCTTTGATTCAATATAATTGGTTTTATATGCTTACAGATAATATTTTTCAACATATTTATTATTTCAAAAATCATGTCTGATTGATCAAGCCAACAACAACAGACAATACTAATTAGTATTGGATATTCAACCTTAAATTTTAATAACTTTTACTTTTTTACTTTTTTTTTCGAAAATAATAATCTACAGCATGCACTACTTATTCAGGTGTGGGTATTGGAAAAAAGATTAACAAAAAGAATGTCTTGTCTTTTGTATAAGCAACTCAATCCTTTGTCTAATGAAAACATGATCACATCATCAGTGCTAAACGACAATGAAGACAAAAAAATGCTAGGCAATAACTTCAAGAAAGAAAAATAATTAATAATTGCTCTTTTTAATTGTATGATATATTATGTCAGAATTCCTCGATATGAGGTAACAATTAATCAAGATAGGAGAAAGATAACACTATTGTTCATTTTCTTCCGGTCATTCGAGTTGAGATAGAAGAACAAGATCGTTATTTTAATACAAAGATACAAACCATATTTGAACAGCAAATACAAGAACGACGAGAATAAGAAAAATTTTATGGACAAGGATGAAATCCAGAAGATTTCCTTAAACCAATGGAAACTTATATTTATTTAGATAATTTTTTTTCCAATTAACAAGTACATTTATGAACCACAAGAAGAATCATCATAGTGATAAAAACAAGCTGTTAGCGTAATCTCTACAGGATTAAAATGTGAAACATGATAGAAGTCCAGCTGAGGTTCAAAAAAGTTTTTCAAAGCAAAACTCAAAAGTTCAAAAGAAGTAAAACATTGAAACGAAGAAAACAAACACTTCTGGGAAAATAACTTTACAAAGTTCGATAAATCTCGAATAATAGGTTAGTTTAAATCCTATGAAATCTCTAATTGTATGAGATATGTAAGACTATTGTATTGTATATGGTAACTTCAAACATTACATTTTTGACAAAATTAAAGGAGCCGATATCTTTTTGAGAACTAATGCAACGAATAGGAGAATGTAATATATGGGTGTGGATGTTGGGTTCTTCTCCTCACCCGCACATCCACCCAACAAACATTCCCAACGCATACACAGTCACACATCTAGACTCTGCTATTCCATAGTGTTGTGACATTTTCTCCAGAAAACATGCTGGAAAAAGACGTGCTGTGATCAATGGCTTACGAGCGTGACAAATGGTCAATTGTGTAGGTGTGGAGTGTGAGTGTGGACATTGTCATTTGGATCATTACTTCGCGCACGATCCATACACACCAACATCCATACCCATCTACACTCACACCCACATCCACATCCATCGTGAATGTCTATGGCCACGAAAGAAGAGACATTCCAATGGCAAGCATAGGGTCCTGCGGGGACAGTTCTAAAACTTTCGCAACAGGGCAATATAGAAAATATCAATGCCTCGAATTTTTAAAATTCTTATATCAAAACATGTTGTAATACTTTAATTCTTTCATTTCTAACAAATATCTGAATATTCAAATAAATAACAGAAAAAAGAACTAGACCATCACTCGAGCAAAGCCCAATCTTAAACTTGCGTAGAGGAAATTGTAATGAATTTCAGTTGTGCTAAGCCACTCTGACTCAGTTGACAAGGTACAAGATAATGAATCTGAACCAACTATTGCATATAGCATTTGAAATATCAATGATTGTTTCCAGTTTAAATCATTTATAGCCATATAAATTAACACTCGGATGTTAATTACAGTTTTCTACATTTCATAGTTCCTAAAACGGAATCGAGTTTTTGGAAAACGAATTTCAAATGTGCACTCATTACATTCTCACAATCTCGGCAAACTTTTTCTCATTTGACAATGATGGCTAGGTGAGAAGAACGAGTGAAATGCAATAAGTTGACTAGTACACTTTGCGAAGTCAGTCGTCTTTCAATCAACAGGACTAAAAAAATTTGGGACGCGAAGGAATTTGTCCTACAGAGCCTTAGATAAGCGACAAGCACAGCGCAGAACGGTTTTTTAAGGGCATATCTGAGAATAACAATTGTATACACGTTTAAATAGATGATAAAGTTTACAAGAGATTAATTTCTTTGTTAATTTTAGAAGAAAAGAAAGAGCTGCAATGGTAATTTCACTTATGTGAGCAACACTATTAATACTAATTTTATTTGAAATATCGAATTGTTTTTTCCAACATCTTTTTATCCTAATTAACAAATCCGAATACAGAATTTTTCATAGGTATCATTTTATTGTCATATCTATTATTAATTGATCTTAACATATATGAAGATAGTGAATCACTCTTATCAACATAAAACAGACAAATAAGTTATATAGAACAAGACAAAATCTATTCTAGTAGTTGATCGAATGAGATTGAAAAGAAGATAGTGAACAATGGTAAAAGTCAAACTCTAATATAAGATAGAATTTTATTTGACATCGATAATAGGTGTCCATTATTGCATTAATACGTGTGTCCAAATATTTCGCATTGAAAATAAAATTTCTAATATATGAAGATGATGAAGAATACGGTAAACAAGTTCTACTGATAATACATGAAGTGATAGAGACGTTTTGATTTTGTTAAAAAAACGTCTATGATATTTGTAAAAGAGTTTGGCAAGAAATTACGAAGAAAATAATTTAAATTTTTTTCTTATAAAACAAAAGCATTTCTCGTAAAATAAAATAACTAGACATTAGGATAAATCAATTAGAATAAAACATAAAGTCGCAGCTTTCAGAAACAAGATAATTTTTATTTAGCATTTCTTTTTTTCTTTATAAATATTTTCACAAAAATCTCATTGTTTTCTTCTTGAAAAAAGTATTCTTCGGAAGAAAGACCAATTTGAAGGTTAAGTTGAAGTGATAATAAACACATAAAGGTGTCAAACTAAGGCAGGTACGTATCCGGAATGTTTTTCAAGGATTGCGAATCACACATGTTTTTTGCTCAAAAGAGATATTTTAAATCATATTCTTGTGTATATGATAACAATGAAATAAGCTCATTCTTTGTACATAGACATTTTTGGATGTGACTGTGAATATAGGCATGAGTCTTATCTTGTCACATGCCCTACCACTCACGCATCTAATCTCACTTCCACATTCAACACTCCCACCCACATCCTATTAGATGATACATGAAAAGCAACCATTTAAATGTTTTAAGTTTATTATTGTCGACGATTCATAGATGTATATTCGATGAGTCTTTAGAAAACAAAATATTATAGTAATACTGTCAATATGAGCCTTTAGGCTGAAATGTTTCATATTCGTCAGGACAGACACGACGAGTAAATTCATCGGCACAAACCATTCGAAGGCGTTCAACAGTTGCTGGTGAATGAAGTGTGAAGTAGTCTGACAAACCTTGTTGTTTCCGATAAGCCTGACATGCTTGTTTTAAAGCAAAAAAAGCCGAAGTAGCAAGTAAAATTGGTGGTTCACCGATACCTTTTGATGAATAGATAGCTCGTGGATTTGATGAATCAGATAATAATGAAACACGAAAGTCCAGTGGAACATCACTAAATGATGGAATTTTATAAGTATCAACTCCACAAGTGTATAACTGTCCTAGTGGAATCCATTTATTTAATTTTTCATCACCCCAAATAAGTTCTTCCATAGTAAACAAACCGATTCCTTGCATAAAACCACCTTCAATTTGACCAATATCAATTTGAGGATTGAGTGATTTACCAACATCCTAGAATAAAATAGA